TGGAGAAATATCAGGATATAAAAGTGATCCATCAGAGGATGACATTAGTTGAGCTACTGCCTTAGGATGAAGTCCAGAAGCCCTTTCCTGTTTGCATTTAACCATAGTGCATACCCAGGTAACTATTAATACTTTCTCCCAAAACTTACCATTTTGTTCCCAACCCATATTTAAGGTAGCCTAATAACCTTTAGCTATTTCAGTGTTAAAATAAGGTATCTTCCTTTGATGAGCCAATATGTTGAGGCCATTTTACCATGTAAGAGTTTGACATAATTTACCATTTTATTTATGGCACAGTCAGGTGATCCTTAGGGGGAAGGCACACAATCTGCACAGAATCTCTTGGCTACTTTTGACTGGTTGTGGTATGCTATGGTTCCTGGGCACTTCCCTCTGTTGTTTTAAATAGTCTCCCTTTACATGCAGGTCTATAAACCTAGATCAATCTGAATGGAAGCCAGTGAGTTATAGATGGAGAAGATGATAGATACTGGAAAGAAAAGAGTGAGGTGGATTTCTCTCTCTGCTGCTGCTCTATGGTGCAACTCTGGCCCCATTCAGGGTGACTGCTAGGTGCTATTTGGAATGTAGCATTAATAAGGTGACCAACTTTTTTACAATGAAAAGGAGGACACAAATAAATTGAAGAAAAAATATTGTAAATAAAATTGTGCTCAGCAGCAATTCCTATTGGCTTTTGAAAGCCAATAGCGGGAGTAGCACAGCTCATGCAAAAGTTGAAAAAAAAACCATCAAAAAAAGGTGCCGGAATGCCGTTCTAAGCGTTCTATGAGGGGGAAAAAAAAGCCCTGCAGATTAGTCTTCAAATATCGAAAAGGAGGACATGTAGGAGGACACTTTTTGAGGGAGGACAGAACTTACAAAAGGAGGACTGTCCTCCCTAAAGGAGGACAGTTGGTCACCTTAGCATTAAACTGTGTCCAAAAAGCAGCCTGAACAATTAGCTGATAGGTGGGGGAGTTGGATGTGGGATTGCACAGTGAAGCACCAGAGAGAGGGGTACTTATGTGCCTTTCCCTCCCCACCAACTATTGCTGAAGCTGCTCTTAGCACCAGTTTAGCATTCTTCCAGAGAAATATTAAATGGACCCCAAGATACCCAATGGATTGGTGTTTAAGGAGCAAGTGGAAGGAGGGAATATTAAATACCTTATTTTTCTTTCAGCCTCTGAAGCACAGTTAAGGACACTTTTAAGTCAGAAACAGAAATATAGAACTGTTTTTGAGAGGTACGTTCTTTAATAAGTTTCACGGTATCCCACCCAGAAAATGAAAGACGACATAAAGCAATAACCGCAGTAATACTATAATTATTCCTGCTGCTCTTGGAGAACCTCCAAAACCTAAAACTAAGCATTCTCCAGAAGCATTAACATATAATTTCCTGAACAGATTACTATTCTGGGCCTAAGACAGAGTTTTAAATGTGTTTTCATTGATTTATTTGACTCCTATCCTATAATCCATAGGAGGAGTTTGGAGTGGTATTTTACTTTTGCAGAAATTCCACAAAAATGCTGAAGTGAATGAAAGCAGGGCATGTACAATCCTAGTTGAGATATGAACCTAGGTTTCTTTGGTTCAAGACACTGAGGGTGTGATATGGTAGTAGAGGACCAGAGAAATAACCTTGGAGAATGTTTTACTGCAAGGGCAGTAAAAGGGCATGTTCTTGGTTTTAGATACTGTATACTGTACTGCAAATATAGTATACAGTGTGTAACAGATTATATTTTTTAAAAGAAATTGATGCAGAAAGATTTAAAAATGCTATACCCAGGGACACCCTGTGGTAAAGAGAAATTCTAAAATAATAGCACAAAAAGGTGCAACCTAATAAGCAGCTTAGATGAAAACCATTGAGCTTCCAGAGAAAAAGTGGCTGAAATATTCAGGTTTTGTTTTTTGGAAACAAAAAATAGCCAGCTTTTCAATATTTTATAGGGGAAAATGACTTCCTGAGAATGAAATGAAAATAAATTACTCAGAAGATCTTCCCTGAATGTGATGGGAATCATAAACATATATATTCAAAGAATTTTCATAGCAGTTATGGAATAGCTTAGTTACAAAGAAAATTGAAGACATCAGAGAAATCTGCGGGTAATCAAATACAGATTCAGCTTTGTGCTGAGAAAATCCTGAAGGATCAAAATGCATGATTGCTAAACTTGATCAATGTAGATTTACATTTGTCTAAAAAGAACACAGTTTAAACATACTCAACTATGCTAATATGTCGGATTGGTTCCTCAGAGGTGCTTAATATTGGCCAGCAGGAATCCTGTCTCTACCATTAGGCAAAGTTAGGCAATCATCTCAATAGATCAGAAGATGAAAGTACAGCAGCAGCAATAGCCACTTTTAAGACACATGTGTTCCAGGCCATCAGCTCTGGGCTCTCTAAGTTAGAATTGGAGACTGATGTTCCATCACCATCAAAGCAAGATTCCTCTATTAGAAGTTGAGGACACTTGTTTCTCTCTCAGAGAGCAAAATTTGCTTGTTTGTTTGTTGCTTCATTAATATCATGTGTCCTTCCCAGTGGTGGGATTCAGCCGGTTTGCACCACTTTGACAGAACCGGTAGCTAATTTTTGGTTGCCCAGGCCCAGAATGGACTTCCTGAAGCGGCATCCACACAGAGAATCGGTTGTTCATATATTTGAATCCCACAACTGGTCCTGCCCTATGGAGTCTTCTAAAGGAACAGTTCTATCATTATAAAAGTGCCCTGGAAAAATATTGTCCTATCAAAATGCTAAATTGTGACATTTAGGAATATACAGGTAGTCATCAATTTACAACAGTTCATTTAGTGACCATTCAAAGTTACAACACTGAAAAAGTGACATGATCTTTTTTCACACTAAGTGTTGCAGCATCCCCATGGTCATGGGATCAAAATTCAGATGCTTGGCAACTGACTCATATTTATGACAGTTGTAGTGTCCACAGATCATGTGATCCTCTTTTGCAACCTTCTAACAAGCAAAGTCAATGGGAAATCTAGATTCATTTAACAACTGTGTTACTAATTTAACAGCTGCAGTGATTCACTTAACAACTGTGGTAAGAAATATTGTAAAATTGGGCAAAATTCACTTAACAAATGTCTCGCCTAGCAACAGAAATGTTGGGCTCCATTGTGGTCGTAAATTGAAGACTACCTGTATAGATTTCTCCAAATTTGTCTTCATTGAATAATCTTCATTTGCAGGATACTGGCTGTAGTGCTGCAACTTCCTTGCTTAGGATAAATTTGTATAAAAAGAATAACTTATTTGATGTCCTTTTTAGGCTGTTGGATTGCTTAGTGAATATATGCTAATATTATTTATAAGCAGACAGATTGTATTGGAATGAAAGCACTGACCAACAAGACAATCAAAATATAAACATCCTGTATGCTATTATTTATCTAAATTCATTGGAGAAGTAAATGTGATATTATTTAAACATACAATTAAAAAACATCCTGCAATGAGAGCAGTGGCTACCTAGGTTAAGAAGGAACAATTTGCTTTGCTATTTACTACTATACTTGGGTACGCAGTGGTTCTTGGTTTATGACCTCTCATTCAAATTTACAATGGTGCTGAACAAGTATGACCAGTCCTCAAAGTTCTGGCCATCACAGTGTCCCCATAGTCATTGGTACTTGGTTACTTCTAATTATGACATCACAGAATGAGCCATGGTCACATGATAACAATTTCCAAATATTATGAATCAATACTTCATTCATAATAAATAGATATATGCAAGAAGAGAGTTTATCTACAAATTCTATGAAAGGATTAGTGAAAATAATTTTGTAATTAAAGCATACAGGAAAATCAGAGACCTTTGGCCTAAGATGTGTACATACAATAAAAAATATTTAAAAACAGCTTATTTTATGGACTGCAACTTTCATGGAAGTTTCTTACATTTCCCTCCTCTTAAAAAAAAAAAGAACTTAAATGGAAGAAAGGATGGACATTGTTTTTCACTATTCAGTTAAACTTTACCCTATTCTCACAAAGTAAAATTCATTGGCAAGGCAAAATCAGTATATCTGCAATCTGTTACCTCAACAATTTAAACAGGGTTCCCTTCTAAAATGAATGGACTATTACTCTGTGATTATGTCCATCCAAAATGCCCAATGACCATAAAACCTAAGAACGTTGTGGATTATAGCTCCACACAATCCTTTTGGCTATTTCTATTATATAATTAGTTAAGCATGTAGCAGACTTTTCTACCTGATTAAATAGAAAGGCAGAATATAAATCAGTTTAATAGATAAAGTAGTTGAAAAGCATTAGGCTGGGGAAAAAACTGCATTAAAGTTTTTTTAAAACAAGCTGTTACTTATTGGACTTCCCCTTTGCCTGCAAAAAATGTGGGTTCATACACAAATGGACATGCAACTTTAATCCTCTTCTGAGTACAAAGGAGAATTATTATCTGAAGGGATGCTCAGGACAATGCTTATATGTTTCCAAGACAGAAAAGTCCTTAAAATCTCTAAATGGTCTTTGATACCTTTGATTAAGGTATCTTGCTGATGACCTTTTGAATGGTGACTGGAAACCTCTCCTTCCCCACTACCAACTGGAACTACCACTACCCCCAATCCCTAGCCTTCATAGATGATTCAGTGGGATATCATGGTCACTGACATTTGGTTGGTCACTGATCACATATGAGCATCCACTCTGCCTTTAAAAGAATTCTTCTTTGACCGGAGTGGTCCTTCAAACACTGGATTAATCAACTGATCCGAAAGGTTGCATAAATTTCCATTCATGCATGGAGCTCACTATTACTTTTAGACCAGTCAGTTTCTCCTAGTTCAACCTAAGCAAGAGAACTGTTCTTGTGGAGTATAATGAAGAGAAACCTTGAGAATGCTGCTTCAATTCTCAAAGAAAAAAGTGTGATGTAAGTACAATATATTTATTGCAATAATAATAATATGTTACTTACTGTCCAGGCAAGGTTCACAGACAGTTTGGTTTACTCCACATGGTTGGGCAACTCCTTCCCCAGGATTACAGGCTCGGCAGCATTCCCCATTGGCAGTAAATTTCCCTGTGGAACACTGTTCCTTGGTCCCTGCTGAGCCCTATAGCAAGAGAAAAAGCAGAACCCAGATGGTAAGACTACTTCTAACTCAGGACGCAAAGATACTCCCAAAGATGCTGCTTTTTGCTGCTGGCAGGCTCCAGGACTTGGCCAAGAAGATTCATCAGATTGGCAAATAAAAAATAAACTATTTTATGCATTGGATCATTGGTGTGGAACCAAAAAAATGGACTTACATAGGATTTTTCCCTTTAATGGGCTTCATTCCAACTGCCCAAAAGGGAAATTTCTCAAGCTCTCTATGTCAGGGGTGTCAAACTGCCGGCCCATGGGCCAGATACATCATAGCAAAACCGCACCCACTCCATTGTCGGCAATGGCAAAAAAGTCATGATACGTCATGACACGACACGTAATGTTGTGAGTTTGACACACCTGCTCTATGCTATCAATAAAGGAGGATATTTGTAGCTCAGGGTGGAAATAAGGGATCCTTGGTGCTCTCCGAGCTTGATTGTTTTCTTGCAGACATTTCATCACCCAAACTAGGTAACATCATCAGAGCATTGATTATGCTACCTAGTTTCGATAATGAAACATCTGCAAGAAACAAGCAAGCTTAGAGAGCACCAAGGACCCCTTATCTCTATTATCAGTCTTGTGATCTATTAAATAGATTCCTAGTGAACCTTCATTATTTCTTAGACATTTCCAGTGTCAGGGATAAATCTGCAAATTTATGCTGTACATAGCACGACGGTGAGAAAATAATTACATAGGTAATATCTGAGTTTGAGTGAAGTGCCACAAAATTTCTGTTTAGAATTATTTTATTGGAAAGTCATGGCAACTTGGTGAGAAGGACTAATTGTCTGACCTCATGTAAAATAATTTTAATCAGATATTGCGTTTATCTTGGTGGACATTCCTGAAAGTCTACATTTTTCAACATTTGCTATATAGATGTGCTGCCCTACAATTTTCACAGTTCCCAATACAGTCAAGCCAAAGTCTGTGAACTGTGACCTATGGCAATTGTACTACAACATAACTGCAAAGCATCCATCTGGGGAAATCTGCTTTAATTCTTTAGATCAACTAGGTCATTTTAAAGAGTGGCCAGTCATGGCCATTGGTCAGATGGTGATCTGGAAAGTAGATGTTGTAGATAGCCTTGAATATTTTGAAGAGCAAGATTTCAAACTTAATTTATAAAATTCTGTGTAGCATCTATGTCATTCCAATTTACAATTCCTATATTACATAGGAAGATTTGAGTGCATGATAGAATCACCAACTTCAGAATAACAATGTGCACTTGTCATTTTTATCTGAACAACAAGAGATCATGACCTTATAGCTTCAGGTACCCAGAAGCTCATCCCAAGTTGCCTTTAATCTGTAAATTTTGTTATGATAAAAGAAAAACACACATATAATAAACTATTTCCTTATTTGTTAAATGTCTATATCATCATAACCTAAATCACATCTGGAAGTGTACATATTTACTGCAGTGTAAACATGCTTCAGGCACCTAGTACCAGTTAGTAAATACACTTATTCATCTTGCCTGAAATGGGGTATCTGGTAGATCATTAAAGGCAGCCCCATGAGGATGCATTGCAAAAATGATATGAGTTTCAAAATCCTCTGAGTGCAGGAAAGGCTCAACAGGTGTCCCATTTGGAACCAGGCAAAAGGTTTCCTAGACACCTTCCACCTGCCCATATAACAATAGCCCTTGGTCCAAGAGGACCCCCCAAGTTGCAAAGCAGCTGCTTCAGGGACTATGCCACTCCCTCCAAAGACCACACAAGAGCAGATAGAGAGCCTTGATGAGCAAGTAGAGCTTCTTGGGTTCAACTTCACCCAATTTCTGCCAATCCAAGCCCCAACAACCTCTGGACATTGAAAAAAACATTACCAGCTGTTATACAAAACAGCCAAAGAAAGAATCGAAATAAAACTATATGAACTTTGAGTGGCCAAAGGAAGACACCTCCCCCCAAAAGTTGCTACTCTAGTAAGGCATGTCAAGACATAAGAAATACATTGTGTATGCTGTAAAGAGAGAACCAGCTGAGGGGGAAAAACGTGGGAACCCAGAAGCACCATTTCAGAAAACTTTCATCCATGACAGCATCACTGTCAGATCCTCTGTCTTGAATTCAGCAGAAACACTTGAAACTGCATGGCTAAATACAAATTTTTACTACATTCAAAATGATGCCACTTTAAGAAGTTAATTGCCATTGGCCAGCTTGAGGGCACACTTCTCTTATACCCTTACGATTTAGACTGGCTACTTCTTTTTCCTGCCTTTCCCAGGACTTAACAGGTAGATTTCTCATAATATTAGGTGACAATTTAATATTGACATAACAGGCACTCCTGCCTTGAGAAATGTGAGTTCTCAACATACTCCTCTGAATCTTTTACCCCTTCTTCTGGAAGGATCAGGAACTATTCCTCATTCCCCCTGATTCAGAGAGGCAGAAAGAAAATGTGTTTCCTTTCATGTTTCCTGTTACCATTGCAGAAGTCCTCCAGAATAAAAGCAGAAGGAATGGGTGGCATTTCCCCTTTCCCTTTTGGGTTCCTATCACAGAAGACCCATCTTTTGCAGAAGTTATGGAGACTCTTCTTTTCTCTTTCTAGAAGACGATACAATTTTTTCCAGTGTCAGAGCTGAAAAACAATAGATGGATCCCTGCAGTTCCCACATTCACCTAAAGTTCTGCTTGTATCCTACACCAAGTCTCCTTACTTGGAGTTAAACTTTTCACCAACTTTCTCATGTAGCCAATAACATAGTTTACAGAGGTGCTGCTGCAGGTGGATTTAACAAAGAATATGAAATGTGTGCACATCATTTACAGCTTTTTATTTAAGATCAGTCAAAGTCAGGTATTTGTTCCTAACTATTAAGAAAAAAAATGAGACTCAAAGCTGAACAATGGCAACTTTTTTCTGAAGTTGATAAAAAGTTTTAATTTAAATTTATCAAGATTAACAATCCTCATTTCAGCACAACATACAATACGAAATAAGAACAGATGTAGTCAAGATTCTTTGACTCATCTGATGACACAGAAACAACAGAGCAGCAAAGAAGCCCAGAAAGGCTAATAAATCATCACAGTAGAGGTCTGAATATTAGGAAAACAGCTAAATTTGATATTACTAGAAGTTGGAAAGAGGCAATGCTAATGAACTGAGCTTGCAGCTTAATTGTAAAAGAACAAGAAATGCATTAAGAATTAAAGGTTTACTTTGAAAATGATTAGAAAACAGTGCATCAGATCTCACACAAACATAGTACCTCCCTACTATTTGCTACAGCACCCTTACTATTTTTCAGATGACTTTAAAGTTAATGTGATTCTTAAAGTACCTGCTATCTTTTTTCCCCCAAGAGCTGAAAAATATTGTAATGTTTTAATGAATACCGGGGAGGTGCTGGGTTTCAGCGCTTTAGAAACATACCCAGCCTATTAGGAAAGACCAAATTACCCAGTAACATCCAATAAAACCCAATAAAGAGGAGAGTTCATCAGATATTGATAAAATCAGAGAAGGAAATCAGTACAGAGACAGTTCTCTTAATTATTTTTTTGTAATTTCTTTTGAGCAATGTAGTAAGAGCTTTTTTTTTTTTTTTTGACCCACAGTACTTCTGTGTGCACAGAGCTAAGGAAGTGATAAATGCCAGATTCATCTACAGGAAGAGCTCATAAATCTGGCCTGAACTACAGATGTGGCAGAATTAGCTACTTTTTTGCTAGGTGTTGAAACTGATAGTGAATTGATTTCTCAAACTGCAGTATGTTCTTTTCTCCCTTGACATTATTCATTGATGGCAAAACAGAAAGTTTTCTTAGGACATTTCTCATGAAATATAACTCTCCCACTATACAACTGAAAGTCCTTAACTATATTAGGGTTACAATTATTCTTTCTTTAAAGAAGTGCTTTTGTCATGATCTGAGTACTATTAATCTTGTATACTGACAATGGAAATGCAAAGATCATTGGAGGTCATCTAGCTTTCAGTGGCCTCTTCCAATAATATGGTTCTATTATTCCACTGTTCAGTGGAGAATCTCCAGTACAAAATGCAACATTGGTATCATTGCCACTTTGCCATCTAATCTCTGTTTAAACATTTCAAGTGCAAAAGAACACAACATTCTGCTAAAAACTCTTCCACAGTTAAAAATCTCTTACACCTAGGAAATCTCTTCCAATACATTGTGAAATCTGCTGTCTTGACATTTCCATGGATTAATTCTAGTTTCGCTCTCTGGAACAAGAAAACAAATCCTGCTTCAACTTCCATCTGATAGAGCTGATACCTGTACTGTAGATGGCTATCACAGCTCCTGTCATGTGGGCAGACTGCTGCTTTAAAATATAATCTTTTGTTATTGGTGAAAATAAATCCTGCCTCAAAGCTATCATTTATTGCTTGTGTAGCTGACATCTGCAATATGGATACACAGAGCTGCAGGTATCTATTGGCCAGCATCTCTGATATCCCAACTAATACCTGTAATGTTGTTGTTTGGAAATTCTGGGAGTTGCTGTCTCAGTATATTTGGATGACACCAGATTGAGGAAAACTGTCTGCTGGAGCCATCCATGGCTTAATTTCTGAATTGAAATTATGAAGGTCTAAAACATGCAACACTCCCCATCCACCCCCTCAAAGAAACATTTATTCCTGATAGCTGCACTGTTGGTGCATGAAATCTGTCGATGGCTCTTTGAAGACTCCTCACTTGCACACATCTGCAGCTGAAGGACAGAGCTTGCCTGCATGTTTTCAGTCCATTACATTGCCATATAGGATAGACTATCAGCCAAAATTAACCCTTGTATGATTGCCCATGGAAGAACATGGAAGAACAATAGCAAACAGTCACTTTACCAGTGAATATATTTCAAGCATGTTACAAGTGATATGACATCTATGTTGGTCTTCTGAGCCAAGAATGACAGGCTGATCCTCAGTTTGAACATGTCAGCCAAATGTGT